CTGGCTGGGGAATTCTGGGAGTTGAAGTCCACACGTCTTAAAGTTGCTGAGGTTGAGAAACGCTGGACCTATCTAGCCCCTTCCAACTCATACATTATATGATTCTATGCATTTTATTTACCAATCACATTAGTGAAAGTGACAAAGGAGGCACAAGACTACTAGTTATAGTAGAGGCTCTGTTCATCCTGTAACAACCAGTTAAGCCCTCAGAGGAAGTCTGCTGAAGCCTTCAATCCAGGCGAGAGACTCTATACTTACTGCTTCTATTTTACTATGGGCCACTTTTTTTTTTAACAGAGAAAAGCGGCCTTAGTTTATTTTTGCTTTTAATCAGCCATCTTCAGCCTTGGATTCAGCTTGTCGGCTTTTAAGCAAATAAATGGGGGGGGGGGAACAAAGCTATTCGACAGATCATTACGTCAGCAAGCTGGGTAACAGTTTTCTGTGGAACATTGACACTCCCATCAGATTCTGCAGTACAACAAAGAAATGTGTCACTGGCCCCAAATTAGGACTCTAATGTCCGTTACAATTTCCTGACAGTTTCCTTCCCCTGAATAACACAGGAATGGACTTTCAGAGTTTTAAGCTAAAGGAAACAGCAAACCTCTGGAAAGAAGAGGTAGATTACTTTGTTCTTCTGAGCTTGGTCTTTAGTTAAAAATCAGCTCTGAGGACAGAGCATGAAGAAACACTACAAAATTTTATAGGATTTGAGCATGTGTAACTGGGGGGGTACATTTATTTTAGGCTAATGATGGATACCAAATTAAAATCTTTCACTGGTATAAAGGTTGGGCTACAAGCCAAAAAGGAATGCTAGTCAAATATTTCACTTAATGTTAAGGTATCATATCCAAACATACCCAGAGCAAATTATTGCTGTTGATGTTTCCAAATTCTCAAGACAGCAGTCTTTAAACTCTGGGAATATGCCTCCAAGTCATTGGGATATGGATATGCATAGAAATGCTCTCTAAAACTCTCTTTTACTAAATTGCTAAATATTATTTGAAAGTTAAATCTGTCAATAACAATTAGTTCATAATATAAAACAGATTGCATAAAAAGGCCAATGAGTGGCTTTAAGGGCATGTACAAAACTTGGAACTAGATGTATGTCTATACACAACTTTGTGTATATCTATATAGATGCTCTGTTTATTTTTGGAGTCTCAAAAAACTGTTCCATGTACTCTAGTTTGCTTTTTTTTAGCTTTCTAACAACACCTTACATCAGTAGTCCAAAATATATTATTATGTTGTTGTTTTCATATGCGAGCATTCATCATTATATGTAGGCATTTTGCTGTATAAGAGGAATAAAAGATGGGACCTTTCCCAATAAAATTAACCTACCCTGCTGATAAGAATTGAAGACAATTTTTAGGAAGTGTATACCTGTAGAAGGACACAATGGGTAATTGTGGTAATACATAATTGCATGAAGAGGAATTGCTAGAAGCAGTTATGATTAGAGGACATGAGTTTAGTATCTAAATCATTACTTGCCTGTGAATTGCACACTGTGATGCAACCACTAGGGTTCCAAAGGTGTTTCATCGGGTTTTGTCCATTTGCACTGGAAACATCTTTCTATTTTATGTGCCACTTTTAGGCAACTGGCTGTGTGGGTCTTGAAACTGTGACTGACCTTTTCCATCTATCTTCTTTGCCTAGTCTTGCCTGTGAAGGGGAAAAAATGTTCCACAGCCATCCGCTTTCAAGGCTGCCATCATTTGGGATGGATACAGCATCAGTATGAAAGAGAGCTTCTCTTGTATATGTTCCTAGCAGTGTAGCCAAACAAAATACAGTTAGTACTTATTTATGTATACATTGATACATTGGCTCCAGAGCAAACTCTGAAATAATAACGAAGGTGGAGATGTGGCAGAGGGTGCAACCTGGCTATTGCTGAGAGGGGAGGGCTAACCAGTGCCTGGCCTCTCTTCCTTTCAGGCTGTGGCTTAACCAAAGAATTTGGGGGAACACTATTCATCCTTCTCAACAATGTCCACTAGGTAACTCCAGGAAAAGTATTGAGGGAATTCTTTCACTGGGCTCTGTATTTAGCAGAGCGTGTGTACGTGAGTAAAACTAGGCCCATTGTGAACGGCTGTGCCATTCTGGAGACAGAAACCTCAGGCCCAAAAGGACAAGTAAAGTTCACGAAGGAAGTTTCATAGCCCAGCAGAAAGTCTGCATGTCTGAGCTCTTGGGCCTTGTGGTGAGCAAAAAAGACAAAAAAAGTAAAATACTCTGTTCTTCTTGTAGGAAGACAGATCCAATTGCTTTCTCTTTTGCAGTAATCCTGTAAAGTAGGTCATACGGCAAACTCAGGATGAAAAATAGAGCACAGCCAAGTGGCCACATTAAAATGCTCTATGCTAGTCTTTGAATCATCAGAAAAGTATGCCAGTATGAAGTCTGCTGCCCCAGTTGCTGACCCCTGTTCTGCCACAGTTATTAGTCTGGTGACTGGAGTTCTTTTAGTTTAATGTGGGACATGTTAAAGAAAGTAATTAGTGGATTTCCCTGGCTTTGTTGTTGTTCCAAAATATAGAACCTGCTGGTGAAGAAACAGCCACTAATCATTCCCCCTAAAGTGGGCAAGTGCAGGTAGGTGCTTAGACTGGTGTGTTTAACCACTTGTCAAGTTGCATGACTAACAGGTCATTGGTATGGAGGTCCTATCAATCAAGTTATTTCTGAACACAGATGTCATGCTCAAAGAGTGCTACATCCATGTGCAAAAATAGCCTAGCTGACAGGTTGCAGGTGCAGAGGAGAGGCTCAGAGTGAAGCAAGAGGGATTGATAAATAATGAATTAGCTCCACCCTTGATTCATCTACAATGGAATGATAGTGCTGGCAGCGAGTCCTATTCTGTTCTTGTGCCTAGAAGGAGCCAATGGATGGAAGGAACGAAAGGATGGTTATGGAGCCAGAATGGAGTAGGAACAATGGTGCTGCCTGCCCCAATCAAAGTAATAAAAACAATGAAAAGTACAGCCACACAAGAACCTTTCATGGTACAAGTAGGAGAAAGCCTATAATGTATCCAGTGGTAACAGAACTAGTAATGCAGCTGGCCAAACCTAATTTATTTTTATTTATTTATTTATTGGATTTCTCCCTCGCCCATCTCCCCCACAATAGGGGACTCTGGGCGACTTACAAAAAACATTAAAACTATATACTGTATC